GAAGGAACAAGGGTTTTTGCTGGTTGAGATAAGGATGGCTATACAGGGAGTTGACTCACATTAATTTCCTGTGTGTGTGTGTTACCTTCCAGGTTAATTCTTTTTGATCTCACCTTTTCTCTAGTTTCCTGGTCCCCTTTTTATTGGCTCAGTTGCTTTTAAGGTATCTGCTTTAGTTTCTCTGCATTAGGGCAACAAATGCTAGCTAATTTTTTAGGTGTCTTCCTATCTCACCCCTCCTTGTGTGCTCTCATTTTATCATGTGCTCAAAGTCCAATCCCCTTGTTGTGTTTTGCCCTTGATCTAATGTCCACATATGAGGGAGAACATATGATTTTTGGTCTTTTGGGCCGGCTAACCTCACTCAGAATGATGTTCTCCAATTCCATCCATTTACCAGCGAATGATAACATTTCGTTCTTCTTCATGCTGCATAAAATTCCATTGTGTATAGATCCACATTTTCTTAATCCATTCGTCGGTGGTGGGCATCTTGGCTGTTTCATAACTTGGCTATTGTGAATAGTGCCGCAATAAACATGGGTGTGTAGGTGCCTCTGGAGTAACCTGTGTCACAGTCTTTTGGGTATATCCCCAAGAGTGGTATTGCTGGATCAAATGGTAGATCAGTGTCTAGCTTTTTAAGTAGCCTCCAAATTTTTTTCCAGAGTGGTTGTACTAGTTTACATTCCCACCAGCAGTGTAAGAGGGTTCCTTTTTCCCCGCATCCTCACCAACACCTGTTGGTGGTGGTGTTGCTGATGATGGCTATTCTAACAGGGGTGAGGTGGAATCTTAGCGTGGTTTTAATTTGCGTTTCCTTTACTGCTAGAGAGGGTGAGCATTTTTTCATGTGTTTTCTGGCCATTTGAATTTCTTCTTTTGAGAAAGTTCTGTTTAGTTCACTTGCCCATTTCTTTATTGGTTCATTAGTTTTTGGAGAATTTAGTTTTTTAAGTTCGCCTATTATAATTCTGGTTATCAGTCCTCTGTCTGATGTGTAGTTGGCAAATATTTTTCTCCCACTCTTGGGTGTTCTCTTAGGTTTAAGACCATTTCTCTTGCATTAACAGAGGCTTTTAGTTTATGACGGTCCCAGTTTATCTATGCTATCTCTTTAGTTGCTGTGCTGCTGGGGTTTCGTCGAGAAAGTTCTTACATACCTACTAACTCCAGAGTATTTTCCTACTCTTTCTGTATTAACTTTAGAGTTTTTGTGGTTCTGATATTAGATCCTTGATCCATTTTGAGTTAATCTTGGTGTAGGTGATATACATGGAATCTGAGTTTCAGTTTTTTTGGCAGACTTGCTAACCAGTTTCTCCCAGCAGCTTTTTGTTTGAAGAGGCTGCTTATTTCTACCATCGTATATGTGTTTTTAGCTCCTTTGTCAAGACAAGGGTGGGTTTTGAGTTGTGTGGCTTCATATCTGGTTCCTCTATTCTGGTTCCATGGTTCTTCATGTGCTGTTTTTGTGCCAGTACCAGGACTTGTTTATTGTCTATTGCCTTTGTAATATAGTTTGATCAGTCAGGTATTGGTATACCTCTGCATTGTTCTTATTGACTGATATGCTCTTGGCTACTTCTGCGCGCTCTGTGTTTCCATAATATAATTTCACAGTAGAGTTTTCAATCTCTTTGATGATATGGTCAGCGGATTGGAATGGGAATTGCATTAAACATCGTAGATTACTGGGAGTATCGACATTTTTTGACTATTGTGATTCCTACAAGTCCGATTGAGCATGGGAAGAATCTCTCCACTTTCTAATCTCCTCAATCTCTTTCTTTCAGTGTATTCCTTTTATTCCTTCTTCTTGCCTAATTGCTCTGGCTAGGAATTCCAGGACTATGTTGAATAGGAGTGGAGATGGCGGGCATCCTTGTCTGGTTCCTGATTTGAGAGGGAATGGTTTCAGGTTTTCTCCGTTAAGTATTATGCTGGCTGTAGGTTTGTCATATATAGCTTTTATAATGTTGAGGAACTTTCCTTCTATTCCTAGTTTTCTTAGAGCTTTTATCATGAAATGGTGTTGGATCTTATCAAAGGCTTTTTCTGCACAGATGCAGACAGTTTCTGATGGGCTTCAGTGTGAGGGGGCCTGGATGGGGCCATATTGGGGTACTAAGCACCCCAGCATGGCCAGTCGCTCAGTGCTTCTTCAGAGGAGAGTGGACACTGTTTAGGGCTGAGGGCAGGACACAAAATGGTGGCAGCTTTTCCCTTTGTCAAGGGTGGTCCTACCCTGAAATTCCAAACTCTCAGCCATGACACTGAAGGCTAATGCTATGTGTTTTATCCCAATTGAAAAAAAGAGAGCCCTGTAGCCACACAGGCCCACACTTGGTAGACGACAGTGTGTCAACCAATCCTTATGACACCCATGTGCTCAGGGGGGACATCACTGCCTTCTTTAGTGGCTTCCATCCACTTACATCCTCTCCTGGAGGGGAGTCCTGTCCATGCTGCTTTCCCCATCAGCCTCCATGTCCGGTGCTGATGGGGCAACCCTCACAGATGGCAGTCTGGGTCTCTGAGTCAGTGAAGCCTTAGATTGACAACTATACCTTGCCCAACACCATGGAAAATTCCAGAACTGGATGGTTTCCATTAGAGTAACCATTGCTCTATCCCACCCAATCTTAAAAGTTAACCACCTCAGGAGCTGGGAGTGTGGCTCAAGTGGTAGAGCGCCTGCCTAGCAAGCTCAAGGCCCTGAGTTCAAAACCAAGCACCACCTTAGTGAGGAGCATTGTGAACTTAAGGCCTCCTCGATGGACAGTGAGACAAGGGTGGGAGAAAAGGGAAAGAGACAGGAAAAACTAAGAGAGGAGCAGAGAACAAGGGAAGATGGGGCATGGGTGGGAGCCACTTGGAGGGTCTGAGACCCTCTGCATCACCTACCCTGTGCTCACCTCATCACCATCCACTCTCTTCATATGTTTGGGCATCAAAGGGACAGGGAGCCCATGGCCTGAATTAGCAAAATCACCATCTGCACAGTGTGCAGTTGCTCCCTTCAGCAGGCCAGCAACCTCCCGAAACAAAAACCAAGGTGAAAGTCAAGTCACCAGGTTGGGAGCACCACCCTGTTCCTTAGCTAGATGCTTTTATAAGTCTTAACTCATGTATTCATCGATAATGAGCAAGCCACAACAATTTGGACATGTGAGTTTACTACTTAGTTTATATAACTAACATTACAGTACCCAGTCCTCCTTTGTCCAGGGGATATGTTCCAAGACATTCCATGGATGTCAGAAATTGAGACTAGCACCAAACCCTATGAATTTTATATTTTCCTATACATATACATATTTATATCTCAGATAAAGTTTAATTTATAAGTTAGTCACAGTAAGAGAATAACAACATAAATAAAAATAGAACTATAACAAGCTATTGTAACAAATGTTATTTAAAACTTCTTGTTTCTAGAATTTTCCACTTAATATTGAACTGGGTTGACTGTAGGTAATTGAAACTACAGACAGTGGAACCATGGAAAAGGGGGACACAGGTGATGGGGAGCTACCACATCTCCAAATCAACTTCATTTTGTCTCCTTTTCTCCCTGGACCCTCCTTATTTTAACAAACTGAAGCCCTCATTTTCTTCTCTCCCAAGCTTGATCAGAAACCCCACATGCCAAGCAGATGGTGGAGGCAGCAGGTGGAGCCTACCTTGCCCAGGCCTGGGGTGTCCTTCACCTTGTGGACAGCCCTCAGCAGACAGGGCGGGGCTGGGGGAGGGGAGGTCTGCAGAATCCCGCTGAAGCTGGTAGCAAAGAGGGGGGTCTCCACCGCAGAAGAAGCAGAAGGTCGGTGTTTCTTCTTCTTAGAAGACAGATTTAACTTCTGGGCAGCTCTGCAGGAGAACACACACAGACGGGGTTATCACACAAGCAGATATGCCGGGGCTGCTTTTTTTCTTTCCCCTTTATGTATAAAGGGCCCCTTTATTAATCTTTTCTTCTCTCTCCATTCTGTCCTGTGGCCTTTTATATGACACAGTGGACTTAATGAGCTATCCAATCATTTATATAGCAGAAAAAAAGGTCATGAAATTGCATGGTTCTGCAATAACCATTTACAAACAGTTGTTTGTCACCCACCAACACTCAGCAGAAGCATCGCCAGAGCTGGCCATCTTTGGGGATAAACATCTATTAAGTTAACCATTCCATAACTTCTCTGGGATAAACTCAAGTCTGAGGGATGTTGTGAGCTATTAGAAACTAACACCTTGTAACCCATGATGAGGAACGACACTGGGACCCCATTGGCTGTGGAAGGGAAATGCAACAGGAGTGGCCTAAATCAAAGTGGCTTCAGACACACGACACCGAGTCAGTCATCAACTGCAGCCAAGGTGTGGGGTGCTCAGAAAAGGGCTGCTCCTGTGGGTGACAAGCTTTATACAGGGTGGCCTCGATAAAAACTCATGGGCAGGTGTAGGGAGTGAGGGGGTCCAGGCAAGGAAGGGGACACGGAGGGTGTAGAGGGGAGGTGGCTGGGATCATTAATGACATCTTCCATTATTCAGGTGTTCTGGGCACCTGATCACTGTATTCTCGCAAAGACCAAAACAAGGCAAGGTGCGTCACAGGCTCGCTACCTCCCCATTTCTGGATTTGTTCTTAGTGATCACACAAAACTCTTGTTCTAAGAATTTCAACTTCCCTATCAAATGATAATAAGTGTTTGAGCTGCTGCGCAGAACAAAAGGACTGCCATGATTTTCTTCTGCCCATCCAAACTTTACCTCCATCCAAAGATCTTACCAACTACATAACAGGTTCCAGAAGAGCAAGTGGGAAGGACAAGGTCAGTGCTGTGTGCACCTCCTCTGCCCCCCATAGTTGCATGGCATAGTTGGGCTTAAACTTTGTGTCAGTAGCTATCGTGTTTTTGACAAATCCTCTGAGCTACAAAACTGCTACCTATTCACGTGTAGCTAGCAAGTTCACCATTTCAAGGTTCACCACTTCTCTCGTGGCAAAACCACAATCTATCTCTTAACAATAGTGAAATGCAGAGGAATAGGATACATGGGGAATAACAGATTTTAACAGATGTCCCCAAAACCCAAGCACCATGTGCCAAACTTAGGGATTTGTAATTGCTCTATGGAGGGGATGAAGGACACTGGCAGGACTTTTTCATGAGGCTTTCTTTTTCCAACAGTGGAAAGAAAAAAGGGTTTTTTTGTCATGCTTTCACTTCCGCTCTTCCTGATGGCTTCCTTCTACAATTAAGGATGAGATGGACTTGCTCAGTGACTAGTCTGTGTCCTGGCCGACAGTCCTCTTTGAGACCCTCTAAGTGAGCAGTCACTCCCCTGAGTGTGACAGTTGGTGGCAGAGGCTTCATGCTGCTGCCTGTTGACACTTCATTCTGCTCAGTGACTCCTAGGTGCTCCCAAACTACTCCTCAGAGAGACAGAAGGATGAGGACACAGGATCTGCTAGTCACGGAGGGGCTGTGTCTATCCTTACGTCTTACATCTTACATCCTATGGTGTGGCTGGGGCTCCCAGCTGGGGTTCCCAGTCTGCATGGTGAGACAGGGAGAAGGGATGGCGCTGAGTGGCAGCACAGAAGTGTAGTGGCCTGATGGCTTTGTTCCTTTTCTTGTCTCTGCCACCTATGCCCACATACTCAGCACCCACCACCCCGCAGAGGAGGAAAGCATTTTGTTGTTAAAGCACACAGGATGATGCTCCAAGGTGTGCCTCCTATAATACCGCACTTTCTCTACTGGGTCATTTCAAACAGCACGCAAGCGTGTTTCTCTTGCTTGATTAAATGCACACCTTTGCTGGGGTGCTATGTGCACTCATCTCGAGCCAAAGTCGTGGCAAGTGTGACCTCTGCTCCCTTCCTCCAAAGCCTCACCTCTGTTCTCTGCAAGGTCATTTCAGTCAGGCAGCTACTCCCCATCCCCCCAAGGTCACTGATGACTGACCACAGAATCACCAAACATCCCAAATCTCAGAGCACGGAGTGTCCTTCCTCTGTGACTGGCTCCCAGGACACTGGTTAATCCTTGCCTCTGCTGGCCCCTTCTCGTCTGCCCAACTGATTCTCAGGAGACCTCAGGGCCCAGTCCTTGGTCCCTTTTTACTTCCCTATGTAGTCCCTCGGTGTTCCCTTTCAGGACCACCATCCACAAAACCACTGTATGCTGTGAACCCTGGCTTATTCTCCCCAGAATTCCTTATTTATTTATCCAAACACCTCTTTGGCAATTCCACCCGGATGCCCAATAGCCATCTGACACCTGTCCTTTCTAAACCTGAGGTCAGATCTCTTCTCTCACAGCTGTTAAGTGTGCACCCATCCCTGTCCACAAGGGACCTATATCTTTAGTTCCTCCTCTCATGTGACACACCATGACATGTGGGAAGTCGGGAAATGGTGTTTGCTCTGACTTCACGATGACCTGCAATCTGACACCTCTCAACACCTTTACTACTGCTGCCATGTCGGTTTAAGCCACTGTGGCCTTCTAACTTCCCCCAATCTTCTGTCCCCCACACCAGTCTGCTCTGCTCACAGTAGCCAGAGTAATTCTTTCAAAACAGGTCTGTTCAAGGCCCTGCATTTGGCTCCCCTTCTCACTCAGAGCAAAAACCAAAGCACTAGCAATGGTCTCTAAGTCCTCATATGACCTGCCCTGCGTCCCCTGTGTCTCTCAGACCACCTTTCCTACTACTGCCTTTGATTAACAGGAAAAAATCAAAATTAATAGTTGAGATATACTAGCCTCCAAATACCTCCTTCACACTGCCTCCCCAGGGCTTCGCCTCCACCTGGAACGCTCTGCCCCAGGTGGACAGGCATGTGGTCATCTCCGTGCCTGTCTGAAATCTCTGCTCAATGTTACCTTGCCCACAAACCTACCCTAGCTGTCATGGAAGACTATCTTCTAAAGATGGCTGCATCGGTACCTCCTCCTCCAAGCTCTTCTTACAGTGTGACATTGATTCTCACTGTTGGAAGGTGGGGTCTGTGCCCCTTTTCTGGTGTAACCTTGAAATCACCTTGGCCAACAGAACAGGGTGAAGTGAGGCTGTATGGATTTCAAGGTCAGGCTACAGAAGGCAAGATGGCTTCTGCATGGCACGTTCACATTCTCACTCATTCTCTCTCTCTCTGTTTCCCTCCCTCTCTGTCTTTTTCACTATTCACGCTCAGAATCCAGCTTTCAGGTCACAAGGAAAGGGTCATGTGGAAAAGGACCGAGGATCCCAGCAGACAGCCTGTGTTGGCTGTGGGGCTGGAGAGTAAATGAGCTTTTACAAGTTTCCACATGCCACCTTCAAGGGTTCTGACTATGCCCCAGACATCGTGGAACAGAGATAAACCACACCCAGATATCACATCTGAACTTCTGACCCCCGGAAAGCATGAGTGAAAATAAATGGTCATTGTTGCTTGAAGCCACTAAGTCTCCAGGTGATGTGTCACACAGCCACAATGAGTGATGGCTCACTCCTGGACTCTCAGTTCCCTTACCCTGGTCATTCCAGTCACCACGCACACTTTGAAACAGCAGATTCTCTACCTAGCTATCATGCTTATTGTATTGTCTGTTCCCTCTCTCAGATGTAGATTTCAACAGGGCAAGATGCTCAAAAGTATCGAGGAATGAATAAATGAGAACGAAAGGAGCTGGAGGTGTTTAGCCCCGAGAAGAGAAAACTGAAGAAAGAAAAAGAAAGGTCCTCAAACTGTCTTTAGAGAAACAAATAAATAAAGGAGTCTTGGAAGAAAGTGTTCTTCAATCAAGGATGCCAAACAATTTCAAAGGCTACATTTTGAGTCTTGGAAAACCCTATGGGGAAGATGACATCACTCCCATCTAACAAGGAAAGGAGGTTTGATGAAGCTGAATCAAGAGAAATTTCAGGATCTGGTTTGAGTTTGAACAAACATCTTCTTCAGATATTAAGTAGGTAATATTATGTAGAAGCTAATTAACTTCTGATTATGTATTTAAAGCGCTTAACACAGTGCCTGGCACAGAGCTGGCATGCAATAGTGTCACCACCATCTCATTTTTCATACTTCAAGGCTCAGTTTCTGCATAGTAAGATTCGGCAAGGTATGTACCTTCCTGTTTAGACTTTTTAAAAGGAAAACAGAGCCCTATGAAGAGTTTAGCACTCTATCCCTGGTACTTTGATGTTCTGTAATGATAAATAGTAGAGCTAAGATTGAATCCAGGTTAAATAGGGATTCATTTACACGACAAAATCTACGACAGCAGAACAGCAGGTGAAACATAAAGGCATAGTCAGCTTTATAATAAGAGGAATTTTCTAAAGATAGGGCTCATTAGCAATGACTCATCCTCATGACATGGGGAGCATTTTGTCACTGGAAGTGTCCAAGTAGTGGGTAGAAAACCACTGTGAGGAAACCAGGGAGAGGAAGGCACAAAGAGGGAACATCAGGTGACTCAGCCTCTTCCAGCAAGGAAGTTCTGAAATCACGGTTCTGGAATTGCTGCTCTATTTGAAAAAGCTTCTGTTTGCTTCTAGGCAGAAACATGGAGGGGTGGAGGGTGGTGTTGATAATACTTTTAAAAATGCTTTTCTTTTTTTCCTACATCAAATAAATATAGTAGGAGAATTTCAGAATTCTGAAATGAACAGAAATCACGTTTTACAGCCCTGATTCCATGATAGCATTTTATTTTAATTTTGACATCACTGTAACCAGCTGCCTGAGCTCCATTTTATACATTCAGTTTCTTGGAGGTCAGACAGGAGAAGGTTCAGTGAAGGAGAGGTGAGCGGTCATGAAGAATTGAAAAGGTGGACATTTTGGCTAGACCTGTGTCTGTGCTACTCATACCTAA